GTCTGGCAATGCGTGCGCGGCATTCAACACGCGCTCGCCAGTTCCCGTCGGCAACCGCCATCGCGGCCGCATCAGCTGTACCAAACCGGCTGGCCGGTGTGACTTCGGCCCCCAGTTGTGCCAGCTTTGCTTCTTATGTTGTGGGAGGGCGGGTGGGACTGGGCATGCCATGCTTGACTCGCTCGAGCTGGCTAGCTTGACTCCTACTCCTACTCCTACTCCTCCTTCTCCTCCTCCTCCTCGTACTCGTCCTCCTCTGCCCCTCCTCCTCGTTGTTCCTCTGCCTTCGCGTGGTTCCCCTCCGCCTCCTCAGGGGTAGCGGGCAACGGGCAACGCCAGGGAGGGATGGGCTCGGGAGAGGTTCCATGCTTTCGAGGTATGAGGTTCGAGGTTTTTGGACGGCTTTCCAGCCTCGGGATGCTTCCCAGCAGATGCGCCATGCTGAGAGCGTTCCAGAGGTGCACGGCTCGTCCCGAACAGCCGCCAGAGAGGCAACGAAAGCCAAGGGGGAACGAAGTATTTGGATGCCCGCCCTCCTCAATATCGTTCTCTCTCTCTCTCTCTTTCTCTCTCTCTCTCTCTCTTTCTCCCTGTCTGTCTCCTCAGAGGGCTTCCAGGACCACCGGGTGCTGCGGGCCCTGTCTCTTCAGTTGCTCCTCGCCTTGGGCGCCAAGGACAAATCGACCGACAGAACCCCGCATGTCCTCTGACTTCCGCTTCGATGAGCGTGCCATCCAGGTATCATTTTCCTCCTCCTCCTCCTCCTCCTCCTCCTAAACCTCCTCATCCTCCTCATTATCCTCCTCCTCCTCCTCCTCCTCCTCCTGCTCCTCCTGCTCCTCCTCCTCGTCCTCCTCCCCCTCCTCCTAAACATCCTCATCCTCCTCCTCCTCCTCATTATCCTCCTCATGATCCTCCTCCTCCTCCTCCTCCTCCTCCTTCTCCTCCTCCTCCTCCTCCTCCTCCTCCCTCATCCTCCTCCTCTGGCCTCTCCTGCGGGACGGCGGGCTGGTGAGCCTGGAGCCGATGCAGGGCATCGCTGATGCTCGACCTGTCGCTGCGGGCTCCCCCTCGGGGCCCAGGACTGCGGACCTCTGGTTCCTTCCAATGGGCTGCCGCCCTCGCCCCCGCCCCTCCGTCGGCCAGCTGCGGGGCATCGGCATCGCCGGGAGGCGGGACGGGGGCTGCAAACGTGGGCGGCGCGGCAGCCCACGGGGGCGGGTCCCCAGAGGAGAGGCCGACGGAAGGGCGACACGAGGAGGAGGAGCAGGTGGAAGAGAGAGAGAGAGAGAGAGAGAGAGGGAGGGAGGGAGGGAGGGAGGGAGGGAGGGAGGGGAGGAGGGAGGGAGGGAGAGGGAGGAGGGAGGGAGGGGGGAGGGGGAGGAACGAGAGAGGGGAGGAGGAGCCAGGGGGAGCAGCAGGCAGGACGGAGGAGGGCGGGAGAGAGAAGGGAGAGGGTCGCCAACACAGCCGACGCCCCCCCCTAGGGAGCCCTCAAAAAAGGGGAGTTCTTTACGGGGGGGTCGGCGGCATTCAGAGGTGGACCGACCTCCTACCTTGACACGTCGATTCAGAAATTTGCCGTTTTCGGTTCGCGAGAGGGCGTCGCGGCCGTCATGTTTGCGGGTCCAGGTCCGTCGGTGTCGGTCCCAGGCCGTTTTCACTAAGGGGAGATGTACTAAAGAGAGGCTTGTCCACCGCCGAGGCATAGGCGGCCCTGCTGCGACTGTCGCTCGTACTCGTGCGGCGCCTCTGGCAGCCTCCGTCCTCTTCCTGCGCCACATATCCCCCCCCCCGCCCTGTATACCACAGGGCGGCAGCAGGCGTGCGACGCGAGAAGGCGCCCCCCCCCCGCTAGGTGCGGGGAGGTGCGCCGAAGGGCCGTGGCCCCCGCCCCCGCCCCTCAACTTCTTCCCCAGCGCCGCTCGGGGGGGGAGGAGGAGGAGGAGGAGGAGGGGGAGGAGGAGGAGGAGGAGGAGGAGGAGGAGGAGGAGGAGGAGGAGGAGGAGGAGGAGGAGGAGGAGGAGAAGGAGCAGGAGGAGGAGGAGGAGAGGAGGAGGAGGAGGAAGGAAGAGAAGAAGAGGAGGAGGAGGAAGGAGCAAGAGGAGGAGGAGGAGGAGGAGGAGGAGGAGGAGGAGGAGGAGCAGGAGCAGGAGGAGCAGGAGGAGGAGGAGGAGGAGAAGAAAGAGGAGGAGGAGGAGCAGGAGGAGGAGGAGGAGGAGGAGGAGGAGGAGGAGGAGGGGCGGCGCAGGAGGCACCCTGGCGCGGCGAGGAGGGCGGCGGCACCCTGGCGCTGCACTCTGGGACGGGGGCTGCAAGGAACAAATCAAGAGGTTGGTGGGGGCCTCCTGTCAGGCCCCCAAGCGGGCTTTGCCGCCCCTGGGGGGGAGGGGGCGGCTCCTCAGCGGCGCCGTGCCGCCAGGGAGGGCGAACACAAGTGCGCAGAAATGGACCCTAATCCTCGTCCTCCTCCAGCTCTTGATGAAACCTCCCCATCCAACCATAAAGGTAGCCACGGCAGTGCAGCATTTGCGCTACAGGTGGCGCTTTGCATCACTCAGCGTGGCCTCATCGGCCTGGGTGTGGCGAGCGCTGCGGCCTGTCGATGCGGGTTCGGGCGGGGTTGCTCCGCACCTCCCACCCACCCACTCCATGCTGATGATCGGCGGCGAGCGAGGGGGGGAATGAGAAGGAGAAGGCCTTCTTAGAAGGCGGCGGGACTTCTCAGAAGACCCTGCGCCTTCTCAGAAGTTGTTGTGCGTCGTCGGGGAAGGCTCAGAAAACTTCTCACTGGGCAGGTGGGGCTTCGGAGCCTTCTGAGAAGGCCTTCTCCTTCTCACTGCCCCCCTCGCTCGCCGCCGAGATGAACCCGCCCTCCAGACATCAGAATGGCCACGGTCAGCTGGGCCTGCTGGGCATCGCTGCCGCTGCGGTTGACGCCCTCTGCATCTCTTGCCGTGGCGGCGGCGTGTCAAGATGAAGGCGGGCCCGGTGGCCCGTGGGCCCCGGGCGACGGAGGCCCTCCTCCTCCCTCCTCCTTCCTCCTCCTCCCTCCTCCTCCCTCCTCCTCCCTCCTCCTCTCCTCCTCCTCCCTCCTCCTCCTCCTCCTCCTCCTCCTCCGCCTCCTCCTCCTCCTCCTCCTCCTCCTCCTCCTCCTCCTCCTCCCCCTCCTACCCTCACCACCCACCAAACCACCCCAACCCAACCAACCCGAATGCCCAAATTTACCGTCGGTTTTCAGTGGGGGGGGGGTCGGGGAACATTGGAAAAGCACATGGAACCCGTACCCCCCCCCCCCCCTTACCCGAAATTCGGGTCCGATTCGGGCCTTCAGGCTGGGTGGGGGTGGTCTGGCAGGGATCCATACCCAACTCAGATGTGCAACCATGGTGGAAGGGTCACCTGCGCATTGGTGCAAAGAGCTGCGCCCCCACGAGGGGGGGGGGCCGTGCCGCGGGAGCGCCAGCGGCTTCTCCCGCGGAGGGAAGAGGGAGTGCCGATGTACGCTTAGGGGGAAGGTTTGGTTTGGCGCGGGCTCCTCCTCCTCCTCCTCTTGCTCATCCATGTCCTTATGCTCGAGGCTGGACGGTGCGAGTGGGTTGTCGGCCGTGTGCGGGTGGCGTTGTGCAGATGGACCGCGCAGGAGATAGTGAGTAATGTTGCCAAGACTGCTGAGATAGAAGTACCACGTTCGGCTCAGGAGGGGTTCTGGTGATCGGGCCGTTCCTCAGGGGTTGCACGGTCGCTGTCTGGCGCGGCCAGAGTAGCCGTGCGCACGCGCACCTGTAACTATAGTAGCAGGAAGTTGGACACGCGTGATGTGGCAAGCCTGGGCGTAATCTTGACACACCACACAAACACACACAGACACACACAGACACACACACACAGACACACACAGACACACACACACACACACACGCGCGCGCGCGTGTGGCCAGCTAGCTTTCCAGCGCTCGGCCAGTTATGGCGGTGTAGGCTGGACCCCCGCACGTGTATCCAGCAAGGAGCCTCCCGATGTTCCAAACGTTATGGACCCAGCTTTGTGTGTGTGTGTTTGTGTTCGAGCTCCTGGTAGCAGGGGCGACGATGGCCTGTTCAAACGGCGTGGAACATGAGTTGACTGCACAGTGGTCAGCCTTCGACTTCACCTCGTCCTCTCCCCCCCCGCTCTCCTGCCCCTCTTTCTCCCCCCCCACCCCTCCTTCCCCGCCCCCCTCGCGAGCAGGGTTGAGGAGGAGCAGGAGGACAAAGAGCAGGGAGGACAGATGGTGGAGGACGATGAGGAGAGAGGGTGGAGGAAGAAAGACGAGGGGACCATGAGGAGAGAGGGAGGAGGACAAGGAGAAGACCTCCTCTCCAGACCTCCGACGGCCCGACTTGCTCGGGCCACTGTCCTCTGGAGCTCTCGATCCCTTCCCCTGGGACGGAGCTCCCATCCCCCGCTGTCCGACAGGCCCGGGGCCGACGGACGGCTTCCGGCGCCGAGAATCACATGAGGTCTCCGGCGCGATCTGTCCGAGCCGCCATCAGTCCCGCCGAGTCGGGCACCGAGCGCCGGGCGCTGCGGCAGCTTGCCAAGGAAAGTGTCACTTCCGCGCGGGGTGGCACAGGAGAGCGGCCAGAGGGCGCAAACGCTCTGCATCGGCCAGAGTCCCCGCCTGCTGACCCAGAACTCCGACGTCGCGTTGTGCTTCACCACGTGGGCCCCTGGAGGTCTAGTTCCCTCTCCTGGGAGCAGGCATCCCCAGCCGACGTCTGACGGTCCTGGGGCCCCCGATGGGCACCCCAATGCCGAAATTCTATGGAAAAACAATCCGTCGCCATTTTTGTCACGACGCGAGGAGGTCTGGGCACGATGAGCACCGGCCAGGGCGGCGCTGACGCCAGAGGCGCGTGCCTTCCCCCCCTGCCTGGCCCGTTGGGTGCCGAGGCCCCGGCAGCCGGGCCGGCGGCTCGCAGGGCCCCGGCGAGAGCTGGGGGTCGCGCTGGCGGCAGAGGCGCCAGGGGGAAGGAGGAGGGGGAGGAGGAGGAGGAGGAGGAGGAGGAGGAGGAGGAGGAGGAGGAGGAGGAGGACGAGGAGGAGGAGGAGGAGGAGGGAGGAGGAGGAGGAGGGAGAGGAGGAGGAGGAGGAAGAGGAGGAGGAAGAGGAGGAGGAGGAAGAGGAGGGAGGAGGAAGAGGAGGAGGAAGAGGAGGAAGAGGAAGAGGAGGAATGGGGGAGCTGAGGAGGAGGAGGGAGAGGAGGAGGGGTACCACCGTTGTTTTCGAAGAAAACGCCCATCTCAAATGCGCGTTCCCCCCCGGCCCCAATTGCAAAGTTCGGGGTGGTCGACGCGGAGGAGCGCGAGTCGTTTCGGAAAAAACGCTCACATTGACAAGCCGCGGCCTGCTCCCTTAGATGAGCACTGAAATTGGGGGCGCGGGGGGCTCTCTGCGCCATATTATAGGCGTTGTACTTGGGCGTTTTTTTTCGAAAGCGCCTGCAGTGTAAACCCAAGACGCATCAATGATGTTGCACGAAACTTTCCCTCCAAGTTGAACGTGGACGAAGGGTTGCTTGCAACATCGTTGATGCGTCTTGTAGGGGCATCTGAAGAGGGAACTTCCTTCCCTCATCACAGATCCCTAGAAGACTGTATTATTATTGCGGAAAGGGCCCCATGTGAAGACAACCGTTTGAGAGATTTTCTATCTTGCTAAGGCACAATTCTTGGGATTCCAACGCTGCGCATCAACGTGGCCGCTGCGTCCTGACAGTCCTAAACCGTGCCAAAAGACCATTCCTGGGACTGCAACCCCGCGACCCAAATTTAATTACTGCTGCGTCCTAAAAGCCCTAAAGCATACAAGAACATCATTCCTGGGACTTCAACGATGCGAACCCTTGAAACGATTGCAAGCTTGAAAGACGACGGTGCACGGCGCTAAGGCGAGAGCCACATGTTTGAAAGGATTAGCCCTCCATCTTCGAAACTAAGACGACTGTGCGAGGCGCTAAGGCGAGAGCCACATTTTGAAAAGGAGTAGCCCTCCAGCCTTGAAACTGCTGCAAACGTCCAAGACGAATGCGCGCGGCACTGAGGTGAGAGCCACCTTTGAAAACGATGTGCCCTCCATGTTTGAAACTGCTCCGCAGTTTTAAGACGAATGTCCGCGGCGCTGAGACTAGAGCCACATCTTGAAAACGGCCCGCCCTCCATCCATGAAATTGTGATAAGCTCCACGCTTCAGGATCAGAAATGGATTCGTTTCAGCGGCAACGCAGCCCAGCAAGGTCAATATGTCTTCTGGTCCGCTAACGAAGGAAATGTTAAACTTGAAGTTACCACGTCCCCTGGCCCGTGTTCGCAAGATCCAAAGCGACAGTCGTCCCGAACGACGTTTCGCCAGGAGAGACGGATGATCCACTGGTGCAGGTTGCCGTTCTGTCGGTGCTAAGTAGTGAGGAAGTTTCAGGCGAAATGCCAGGACCAACCTACCGACATGGTTGGGGGTACGATAGGAAGAAGGGAGGAGTTATTCAGAAAGTTATTTTTAATGAAAAGAGATGAAGAAGGAGGAGGAGGAGGAGGAGGAGGAGGAGGAGGAGGAGGAGGAGGAGGAGGAGGAGGATGAGGGGGGGGATTTGGACGCTGATTTAGCAATGACCTTGTCAGCAGAGGCCGGCACGCAACTTGCAGAAATTCAGTGATATGACAATTCTGTTGGGGCGCCTGGTTCAAGTAAAACAGGCATGCAGTACCAGCTGGCAGTAAAGTAAGTTGGCTTTCAGCGCAGCCGACCCTATGCGGTAATTTGTAGTACCTGAGTGGGAGAATGATCTTCGCTCCTGCACAGCGAACGAGGCAACAGCGGAAACAGGGCAGCTATCATTGCGCTTTGGGACAGGCGGGATAACTCACCGTGGCTCTTGGTGCTTATCCAGGTGTGCAAGCAAAACACAGGCTAAGGTAGACGAACTGGCATGTCGCGACGCAATGCAGGAGGAAAACATAGTGCGCCCGCCACAGTTCTTTGAATACGTCAGTGGGCCAGTTATCTCCCCCCCCATGGCACGGATAGTAGTAAGGCAACAGAACAGCGGTAATTCGCGCATTGCGGGGCGAGGAAGGCGAGCATTTGCAGATCGACGGTGCGTCGCCAATATTGTTGGACTGTAGCGCCGATGGCGAATGTCTGTTGCTGGGTCTGGGCGGGCACGGGACTACAGGGCTGTGTGCGACGAGGCCGCCAGCAGGCAGCCTTGACCATGAGCACCGCCAGATTGTCTCTACAGTTGCCTCTACCTCACCCTATTCCCCGTAGAGGGCTTGGGATCAGCCAGGCTCGCCTGACCATGCACACCGCCAGACTGCCTCACATAGCAAGGCACTGAAGGCTAGACGCCTTTCCCTTGATCTTAAACAAGTGGTCCTGAGGGAGCTGGGTCGTCATGAGACAACCATACATATGTCTGGCAAGAGGTTGGCAGAAAGCAAAGAAGGCAACGGTAGCAGTCCTGATGACCCGTACGCATTGGTCTCTTCCCGCGGGCGGGCACAACTGGCAGGGAGCACGAGCGTGGTCGGGCAACCTGCTGAGCGCATGGGCGGGCCAGTCATCTTCACTCTGGCCACGGCACGAAACGAGACGACGGCAGACACACAGCGGCTATCAGCGTTCTCAGAGGAGGACAAGGAAGAGGAGGGGGAAGGAGAGGAGCAGAGGAACGAGGAGGAGGAAGAGGAGGGGGAGGACCAGGACAAGGAGGAGGAGCAGAAGCAGCAGAAGGGAGGAGGAGGTGGTAGGACCGAGCTGATCTGCGCTGCGAACGCTGCGGCACCAATCCCGCTTGAGCTCTAGCGCCTCCGGCGAGCCCCTGCTGCCGGGCTGGTCAGGCATGGGGCCACATGGCTGTGTGCGACGAGCGGCGAGACAGCCTGAAGCATGCACACCGCCAGACCGTCTCGCGGCTGCTGCTCCCGAGCAGAAGAGACACACACGCACACACACACACACACACACACACACACCCACACACACACACACGCATACACACACACACTGCTGGCCTGCTGGCCGTTGGCTGCATGCCTGCCTGTGCGCTTGCTCTCTGGAGCCTGGCTGGCATTGGCGGGGTGACTGATGGTCCATGGGTCCGCAATGTCACCGCCCCCCTCACGGGAACGGCTGCCCCGCGGACCGTGATGGTCGATCCCACCCATGGGAGCCAACAGGCAGGTCGCCTCCGTACGAGCCCGCGCCCCCCCCCGTCCGCCGTACCACCCCGCCGGGCCTCAGTCCGAGATGCGTACCCTTTGACTACACGTAAGAGTGACCCTTCGCGGGAGTGACCTTTAGTGCGGGCTCGGTGGTGGAGTCTGGCGCGCTTGCGTTTGGTCCCCCCGCGGCCCCCAAAAAGCCGCGCACCAAAGGTCACTCTTGCCCCAGGGCTGGACCTAAACGGTGTTGTTGGTGATTTCGTGGGCCGTTTTCGTTTCGACTTCGTTTTGCAGCAAAGGCGGATTGGAAACAACAGCGAGGGAACACGACACAAAACGAAAACGAGAAGCACCGCTTAGGTTCAGCCCTGCCTTGCCCAGGGTCACTCCTGCGTGCCGCCGAACCCCTTCCCCTTCCGCCTCGTGGCCACGCGGGCGGAGGCGCGGCACGCGCCTTGCTCGCTGGAGCCCGGCCGGCGCGCGGGGAGGGGCCCCGAGAAGGCCTCGCACGCGCGGGGCGCCGACGGGGGCAGCGTCTGCCTCGGCGAGGCTCGCGCGGGCCCTCGATCCTACAGTGGAGACCCACGGCAAGGAGCACCCTGCTTGCCTCTAGGGTGCCCCGGGTTTCTTGGGCTTCGGTGGGTCTGCTCTGGAAGGCGTGACGGTCCCGCTCCACAAATCGACGGTCGTCCTGGGGTCTCAGCGCGCGATGGGGGGGAGCACGCGGTGCCACGCATACCGTCGGGTGGAGGGGCGGCAGGGCGTCTCGCTGGCTGGCGCCCGGCTGGCGGGCGCGGGAGCGGGGGGCGAGGGGGCGGTGGCCGTGGGGGCCTCGCACGTGTGGAGCGCCCCGGGTGCACCCTTCGCCCCCGCTGGTCGACTATGCGGAAGAGTGACCCTTCGCCAGAGTGACCTTCGGTGCGGGCCCATTGGGGTCCCCTGGTCGCCGAGCGCGATGCGATGGCATAGCGTCCTGCGCACTTGTGTTTGGCCCCCCCCTGCGGCCCCCATAGAGCAGCGCACCAGAGGTCACTCTTGCCCAGGGTCACTCTTGCACGTAGCCGAGCTGGGCCCAGGCGGGCCCATGAGGGAGGGAGGCATCACTGGGGAGGGCGAGCGGGGGCGGTGCCTCTGTCCCGGGGAGGGGCGGCGGCGGCGGCAGCAGCAATGCCAGACAGCCTTCGCACTCAGCCTCGGACTTCAGTCGGGCATGTCCCTCTACAGGAGGAATATTCAAGAATAGTCAAAAAGTAGTATGGGAACGATGTTTATATAATTTGTTGCTTATTGTCGAGCACTGATGTACTACTTTCATTTTCCCCCAAAATCCGCCTGTAGGAGGACATGCCCGACCTAACCTCAGAAATTCTTTACGCTTCGCGTATCCCCACCAGCCCGTCCAGAAACGACGCCCAGGCGAGTAGAGGGTCGTCCTGAGGGGCTTTTCGGCGTCTTGGGTGCCTCGGGGGGGCCTCTTTGGGCCGTTTGGGATCCTCTTGGGGGCCTCCTGGGGGCCTCTTGGGGCCATCTTGGGGCCATCTTGGGGCCTCTTGGTGCCTCCTGGGCGCTTCTTGGGGCCATCTTGGTGGAAATCGATCAAAGAAGAGGGGAGCTTCAATTAGCGCTGCCCCCACAGAAGGCCAAACTGGGGCCAAAACCTTGGTAAAATCAATGATTGTGGCTTCAAAGAAGAGGGGAGCTTTAATTAGCGCTGCCCCCTCAGAAGGCCAAAATGGGGCCAAAACCTTAGTAAAATCAATGATTCTCGCTTCAAAGAAGGGGCGAGCACTTTTCTGCC